ATACATTTGGGTTAAGAGGATGAGCTTTATGGGCCATCATATTAAAGTAATGTGGAACAATAATCCAAAGTATTACAGGGGAAGCTAGGTTTAGAGTGTGTTGATAATCAAGAAAGAAGCGTTGTAGTCAGCCTCCGTAAAGTTGTGGTCGGAGTAGTAGGCACAGCTTTGCATATGCACTACATTGTATGCATTAAGCTGGGTGTTTAATTTTGCCTTAAAATGACTTAGCTTTAGGGTATACAAGCATGAATTTTTGGGCTGAATGCATGGGTCTGGAGAATCCTTTAGGTATAACAAAGATGCATCCAAAAAACACTGATAGTGGGAAATGAAACTAATTTTCAAACACTTAGCAGGAGTGCAGATATCTAAGAGGTGTAATCTAGAATGGCCATAATGTGGAAGGATTTTCTTTCAAGGTATTAGTTATTTCTTTAGGAGAAACTGAATTTTTACTGAGAAAAAGGTTTACAGGGCTTGCATTCAATATTAAGTACTTAGCATTCCAAAGGAATACCAGGTTCCTTGTCACTTTGAACAGTGCACAATAAAAGTACAAATACTTTAATTTCTATCATTTTCTTTTGTATGCAATCTCTGCATGCCTAAATTACTTAGCAAATTGTACAGCTAGTAATCCAAGACTGCATGATTTACTTGTGAGACTTCAGAGGGATTGGAGCATACTGGGTAAGATGTTGCACATTAGAATGTGAACATTTGGGATCTCAAGAACTGTAAATTTTCTAAACAGCTTAATGCAAGGAAAAAGTATTTACAAAGTTAGAAACTACCAAATAATAGAAATCTGATCAAATTTACTTTTTCTATAGAGAAGCAGGGAATGGGGGCAGAGTTGCAAAGCAAGTAGGGCATGATGAGAGTTTCTGTCCAATTATGCATGGTATTTAGAAGAAAATGGAATACAGTTTTGTACATCCGTATTTCTGCTCCAAGGAGTAATAAGAAAATAAAATTACTCATATACTACAATTAATTGAATGCGCATTAGGTTCAAACTATAATTTCAATTAGAGACATAAATATCAGGAAAATGTTTTTATTCAAACAGCCAAGCTCATTGTTTGCAGACAAGGGACCTGGCACAGATGGAAACACAAAAGTACCTTCTTCTGTCTATTGAGTTATATATGTATAACTTAACACAGATGGCAGTTGGGTAGGAAATTTTTTGAAGGGAAAATACTTTTGGAGTGACAAAACCAACTTGGAGCCTTCTTCCATAGCACCTGTCTCAAGAGTGACAGAGAAGGTGTTTTCCAAATGTAGAAGTTGTCTTCTAAATATATGCTGTTTATTTCTTTCTTTTTAAATGGGTTGAGGACACTGCTGCTCTCTGATCACTGATTCTTTTCAGAAACATACATAAAGTTAATGGCTTGGACTTTGTTTTGAAGATTTGGGCTTCAATCAAAGCTGGCTTTAACAGGGAATGAAAATAGGAGGCTGCTATTTTCCAACACTGTTTGAAATAAAAACTAGTGAAGAAATCATCACTCAAGAAATGAGACTTTAAGGCTGTGTTCTGTTGAGTGGGCAGGGTAGTGTAGATGGGTGATTTATTGCAGACACTTCTGTTGTGTCATAATTCACTCAAAATAATGTGACTTATCACACATGCAGACTTTTAGCTTATTTCAACAGACACAGTTAAGTGCTAAATCGAGAACCATGGAAGTGAAAAAGGCTATCTCAGAGAGCTGGGGTGTTTATGTATGATTATTGGCTGCGCTCAGATTTTGAGAAAAGGGGATTTTACTGACATTTAAGACAATTGAAGGAACTGCCTAAGCACAGCCAGGTTTATATAAGCCCTGTGAAGAGACTCAACACAGTGTTTGCAGCAGGCTGTGTATGTGCTTGAGGATGCTGGTTAACAAATATTTCCTCTACTGCCTTAGGCTGTCCCTGCCTATGTCCAATTTCTAACAGATGCCACAGCACTACTTTGTGGAAATGTGCAATGAACAGGACCAGGAACCTCATCCAGGTTGAATTGCATTTTCTTTTCTTCTTTGACTATTTTTTGGACATATCCATTTCCTAATGTGGATTTACCACATGGCAGTTTATGTGCTCATTCAGAAACATTTAAGAACACAACTGAGGGGCAAGAAAAAAGAGCAGAAGGTTAGAGGTTACTGCTCAGACCACTGCTGTTTATATTTGTTCAATTATATTCACAGAAGTTCAGAATTTCCAACCATGTTGTTATTGGTAAAGAATAGCTTGGCAATGTGTTTTTCCATAATTTCAAGTAATAAGTAGAGTTCTTAAATCCCAAGGATGCCTGCAGGAGAGCTGATAGTAATAAAAATGTGTCAATTTACAGAATTTCAAAAATGTAAAAACTCAGGAATATGTTGGTATTCTGAGGATATGCACACTTTCAAATTGAAACATTGAAGAACTTAGTTACTGAAAAGATTGATCTACCTTGTAAAGATTTTTCTCAGCTTCTTTGACACATGTTCTGATTAGTCTCTTGGAGTGAGGATGAGGGTTTAATATTCAGATTGTTAGGAACACAGCTCAGAGATGAAAAGTAATTTTAGCTGCTGTGGGTAAATGCCCACATAATTCAGAATTTAATTCAAGGGACATGGAGGAAAAACAGAGATACATAGATGTAGGTACACACTGTGGAAAGGAAGATTTCAAAATTGTTTTATTATTAGCCTAAAATAGAAAATAATATATTCTTCAGTTGGATATGATAGTTTTGCAAAAAAAAAAAAAATCAGTGAATTTTAATAGGCAAATTTTATTATCACTAAAAAACTTTGAATTTAGCTGTCACTGGATACCATTTTAGTTAAAATATCTATGCATTAAAGAAATAATTTCTTCTCTGCTTATGTATCTACCATCTACAAATTTTAGGGATTTATTTGGGATTCTGAATGGATCCAATTACAATGGTATTGTTAAGGTTTCCTGCTTGCATTTGCTAACTGATCTTCATCTTTAGAAGCTGATACTGGGTTAGTATTATTGAATATAGACATTAAGGTCTTGGTTATGATATTTAACTTGTATCCTAGTGATATGTGAAAGGAAGAAATTTTCCAGAATATTTCTAAGGAAAAAGGACAAAAACTGCATGAGGAAAGGTGAAAGCCTATACCTGTAAAGATGGTTTTCTTCTTTGGTAGTTGGATAGGAACTAAGTTGTTAGGCAAACTGTTTTAAGGTGATTGTTGTTTGTGTTTCTTTTTGTCTGTGCTTGCTTGTTTCTCCTAACTGGGTGAGACAGGTTTGATTGTAGTGTCAGGTGATCTCTTGTTCAGTTTATACAAAACCTGTACATGTGTCTGCAAGTGTCCCAGTGGAATTCAGAGCTGTACATCTCTCTGACATATGTCAGCTTCCTCAAATATAAGGGAAAATACTTTGTTTCTTCCAGGAAAATTCTTTTCATGTTTGGTCATTGTGAAATGCTTGTCAGGACTTTAAGTTTCATGGAATTATACCACACCTTCCTTCCCACAGAGGTTATGTAAACCATCAACCATTCTAGTCAAAGAATCACTCTGAAATTCTTGTGTTGTGAGTTATATCAAAATTCTGTTTATCATCAAGGATTGTATTTTATTATTTTTCTTCTCAGGATCTAGGAGACAAACAAGTGAACTATTTACCTAAATTCTTTTGACACCTTATTATGTTCCATACATTAATTCAAAACATATTTTTATGCATTCTTTTTTATTGCCAATTTTTTGTGTTCCTGGCTCTTTTCTGGTGGAAAGATCAGCATTTGTATCTGTCAAATGCATCAAAAGTGCAGCATTCTACTCTGTTATCACTGGGTGTTGGTTTCATCTTTTTTTTTCATGGAGTCACCAGCAGCTACTGCTCACGTTCTTGCAAGAACTTCCATCAGATATCTCCTGAATTTTTCTCTTACATATTGCTGGAGCAAGTCCTCAATCAGTGTCTTGCTGGGAGTCTAATACCTATTCAGTAAACCGAGTGTTTACCAGATTTTTTTTTCCAGTCATTCACAAAGGTTTTTTACATTTTCTTGGTGCTATTTTCTCTGTGGGCCCTGCCAGTGACTCCCAAAATAGTCTTTCAAGAAATACTATTCTGCTCTCACTGTACACAGAATTGCATTTCAATAACTTATGCTGCATTTCTGCCGGCATGCACCACATGCACCCAGCATCTCTTTCAGCTGGCAAGAAAAGGAAAACGCAGCACACCCAGCACTGACCACAGCTGTTGTTCCCTCCTCATTCACACACGTGGCACAGAACTGCTTCTCTAGAGACATGGTCATAGTTGCCCTCTGATCTACCTTTCTAGATGGAGATACTCCAAATTTCAACACAAAATTTCTTTACACTTGATTTTCTGCCATTGCAACACACTCCAGACACCTGATACGATCAATGACCCTCAAGGCTCAAGTTTAAATTCTTCTAAGGGAAATGGTACACATATCTCCCTTAAGTAGGCTATTCAGAATTATAGAAACCCAGACCATGAAAAGAAACAAAACAAAACAAAGCTCACCAAATCCCTTAATTTACAAGAACAGTATTTGCAGGTGGGGTCTCAAAAATAATTTTAGTTATTCACCCATGGTAATCATTAATTATGTCCTTTGTTGAGAGACTTCACTGTAAGCCAAGTGATAATATCTGCTAAAACATGATCATTCCATTTCCAGGTTTGTAATAAATAAATAAACAGCAGCAGCCTAATGCAGGATTTTTGACACATGGACCACAGAGGTTTATTTCTTTTAGCCTCCCACTACAAATTGGAAATTGGTTTACATATTAGTGAGTCTTTATATATTCTTGATATATTCTTTTTAATCCTTAGGCTTGTTTGAATCACTGCTTACTCTGACATTTTATATCTTTATAGTGATGCAATAAAGATTGAGCTTAAAAATATGACACGTGTTTTTTAACAAGGGTACAAGCAACAACAATTAATCAGGTAATAAGGAATATGCATACATCAAGACCAGAAGGTCTGTGCTCCGATACAGCCACATCAAAGATGATCCCTCTTCATCCCTCTTCTCTCAACAGGAAGGCAGCAATAAAGATACCCAGAATGAGAAAACAAAGATGATGGGCAGCAGCCGCGCCTAAGAATTAGGGAGGATGAAAAATGCAAAACTGAGGTTATAGTCATGCCATGCCATCTTGACTCCCAGGGATCATAAAATTGCTTGTCAAAATTGTGGATTTTATGCCTGACATAGAGAAATCTAAAAGGCATCCCAAGGACTCAGAGCTGCTGTTCCCTGTCCTCTGTGTCACATACACCCATACACACAGAGCCATGATCAGACCACACACACATATCATGGAGCTTGTGACTATGACTGAATATGTGAAATAGGAGTGAATGAGTACAAGTGACTGAAATCAGTTTCATTTAAAAAAAATAAGCATCCTCTTCCACAATCTTGAACTTTATGACACTGATTATTATACTTCGAATGTTGCCATTTAGTAATGAGTTATGCTATGAAAATTTCCAGAATGCTAACACAGAAAAAGCATTCCAATGCGCCCATGGGGCTTCATGTCCTTGGGAAGACTGTGAACTGCAGTGAGGGCAGCAGTATGAGATGGGACCAGGTCTTTTTTTGGGAAGTATATTCCTTTCCCCCCACAAAACCTCCACCTACTCCTGCCTCTTTCCTGGATGAGATAAGGCAGTTCTGCTCTGTTTTAGCACTTTGCCAAGGAGATGTAGTAAATCCACTAGCTGCTACTGGGTGGAAGCACAGATGTCTTCTCAGCCCTCTGATTCTCCTCAGCTGGGGCAGAGGAGGCATGTACTAGCATTGCCCCACAGAGAAAGAAAAACTGTCTGGCAGAGGCAGAACAGAGCACAGCTCATCTGGACTGCACAGGACAATGCAAAATATACATCTATAATACTGTAGTATTTTAGTACTCAATCACTTTGACCCCAGTGGCAACATAGATATTTAGGATAGTTTATCATACTGTTGATAATTACTCATCACTGCTATCATTGCTAGATGATGAAAAGTTTGTCTAGTTTATGTCCAAGATGAGTATTCTCATATCCTGGGAGTCAGTGGTCCATTCTTTCCTCCAGAAGCAGTGAATTGAGTGTTGAGTAATCTGTCCTTTGAAACGTGTAAAGAAGCTGTTAAGAGAGCACAAAATGTGTTTAGCCAGCAGTACCAGCTGGATGCGAGCCCATCCAGGATATACTCTGCTCATCTGACAGCTGTTACCAGCCCCACATGAGGATCAGTCTCTAACTCTCTCATGTCTCATTCTGCCTGTCATCAACGCCTTTGTTTCGCTCTATAGGAGAGAAGGAAAAAGATATAACATAGGGACAATGCAGCACCTGGTGGGTACAGAACTAGGGAGGATTTGCAGGGTGGCAGGTGTTTAATATGATATGAACACCACACTAGACAAGTGGTAGGAAGTTCTTGTTATGCCATAAATTGCATCCTTACCCCAAAGAGTAAATTACTTTCTGGTCATTCCATCTGTCAGTCCTCTTCCTCTCAGAAGAAAGCTTTTTGTTTTCTTTTTTTTTTTCTTTCCATTCTCTGTCTATTGTAAAGAATCAGCCTTGTGACTGGTACATGTCGTATGTGAAAACTGATTCAAATGTGTCTGTTACTGCAACAGGAGAAAGTCCAGATGTCTGCCACAAGAGGGAAAGTGGAGATGGAGATTGGATAGCAGAGTATGCCAGCGAAGGGCTACAATGGCTGGACAATCCACAAGGGGAAACATCTGTATAGCCTAGATTCATATCGCATGGCCCAGCATCATATAGCATGGCCTAGCTTCATATAGCAGTGCCCAGCTTCATATTGCATGGGCCAGATTCATATAGCATGGGCAGCTTCATATTGCATAGCCCAGCTTCATATAGCAGTGTGAGTACTCTGGCATTTAAATTCCTCCCATAGCAGGTGGGTGCTGAAGAGTAAAAGACCTTTAGTGTTGGAGAGTCAGAATATTTTTTAAACATCCACATCTTTCAATCTTCTTTTTGGAAGTCAACATTCAATTTTACGGGGTCAACAATAAGCGTGTTTTACAAAACCCCAAATTTGCCCTTCACCTCAGATGAGGAATGCGAAAAGCCTACTATTTTGCTGCCAGCAAAAATCAATGCCAGCCTTCAAAGGAACAAGTAGTAGCCTTGTTGTTGTTAGGTGATGATCTAAGGCAAGCCAAGCTTTCTAGAGAGACATACAAGCTTTTGATAAGCCATATAACACAGTTAGTCTACAGACATGCTTTGAGACTCACAGAGATCTCCAGAGCAGAAGGTCAGGCATGAACTTGATCTTGTGTAGCCAAAAGCCTGTCGCTTCCCCCAGTCACATCCTTTGGTCTAGCTAAGGCTGTTTCCTCTCCCTCACCGGCCTGACCGAGGGCCGCCAGGGTGGGAGCCCCGTCCCGGGTGGCTCAGCCCGGGACCGGAGGGCGCTGCGGTCCGGCCGGTGCCACAGCGCTGCCCCGTGCGCCGGCGGAGAGCGGCGCGGGGAGCCCGCCCGCCTCGCTCAGCCGCCGCTGTGCTGAATGCAGGGCATCATCCCGCGGCGCCCGGACCCCAGCGCCCTCTCCTCCCGGGAAGGCAGCGGGAGCCCGGCTGTCTCGCAGCGCCGCATCGCTCGGTCACCCCTGTCCCCGTGTGCGCTCACACGCCTCCCCGGCCCGCAGCGCCCGCGGGCGCCGGCGCCTCCCGGAGGCCGCCCGGGCTGCGGCGGTGACGGGGGCTCCAAGCCCCTCGCCCCGCCGCCCCCTCCCCTTCTCCGCTCCCGCCCGCCCCCGGGCCCTCCTCCCGTCACTGATTCGGCGCCGGAGCCCCGGGTGCCCGAGCCCCCCTCCCAGCCCGGCCCCCGCCGCCGCCGCGGCTCTCGAGCTGTCAGTGCGCAGGCAGCGCCGCGGCCCCGCTCCTACCGCGCTCCTACCGCGCCCCGCACCGCGCTCCGCACCGCGCCCCGCACCGCGCCCCGCACCGCGCTCCGCACCGCGCTCCGCACCGCGCCCCGCACCGCGCCCCGCACCGCGCTCAGCCGCCGCCGCCGCGGAGCCGCCGCCGCGGGGCGCAGCAGGTACCGTGCCGGGGGAGCCGCCGCCGCTGGGGCCGGGCTGCGCCGTCTGGGCCGGGCGCGGAGCTGGGGTCCCCCGCTCGGACTGGGGCGATGGGAGCGGGGCTGCGGGCGGGCCTGGCCCCGGCGGCTCCTGAGGGGTGGCCGGCGGTGCGGAGCGGAGGGACCGTCGGGGTTCTGGCGGCGGCCGCCGCCGTCCTGGTGGAGGGGGGCTGCGCTCGGGGCACCCTGCGGTGTCCCAGCCCCTGGCCCTCGGGGGCAGGGCGAGATGCGCTCCCTCCGTTCCCACCGAGCGGCTGGACAATAGCGGGAAATGCCCGAGTTACCCTCCCTCACACCTATCATTCCCAATGTTAAATGGCTGTAGAGTTGATGTGGGAAGGGATATAAAATTTTGGCCCCACTTGTCATGGAGCCGAGGTAGGAAAAGCTCCCAGGGATTCACCATGGGGAAGAGCATCCTGGCAAATTCCCACAGGGACAGTTTCTCAGGTGGGAAATAGCATTTATTTTGTATGGATATCTGGTTTCTAGGTGAAACAAAGTCTCGAGGGTTTTACCAAGAGTAGCATATACAACTGAGTCTGTTATGTACTATTTTCTGTTAGATAATATGATTTAATTCTCTGTGTACTTGGCCATCCCACTGTCGCATCCTCAACCCACTCTGTAAAAGCTCCCAGGGAAGTAGGTCAGTATCTCTAGATGATGTTTCTATTAGACACTGGTGTGTTTCTGCACTGCTGGCTGACTAGAAGGCAGCATTGTGACCCTTCCGTTTATGCACATTCTGAATGAGCCGAGCTTCAATTATTCATTCTGATGCTATTGCAACCTTCTGCAGTTTCTCTTCTCCAGGGACACGATGTGTAACAAGAGTTTGAAACACACCAGTGAGGCTGCAATCCTATCTTGGCATATGGCAGCTGTTTCCTTGTCTAGCCATTTTTAAGGGTTAATTTGTAGCGCTAGGAGGAATGTCAAGGAAGAATGAGGATTCCCAATAGAGCAGCATTACCCTGTGCATTCCTTCTGTTTCCCTCTAAAAAGCTATAATTCAAAGTACTGAATGGATTGTGGACTAGGGTCTACAGATGAGTTTTGTATTTTGTCTCTGAAAGGAACAATGCCTTCAGAGGGCATTTGGTTACCATAATGGAGAACCTATGGCTTTGATATAGAATTGGTTTAAATCTGACAGTTTGTTGGTGTTATAGACATTTGCTCTTTTGTAGGTGAAAAAACAGATGCAGGAATAAAATACATTGGAACCAGAGATTTGGGCCCAAAATTCAGAACCCTGTTTGTTGTTATTTATGTTTTAGTTGTGTTGTTATTTATATTTTACTTGTGTAGTCACCTATCCATTGTGCTGTGCTCTCTATTCATAAACTGTGAACTATTCATATTTTCCAAATACAGAAGGCTGGGTGGGCCCACAATGGCAGCAGCTATACTTGTGAAAAACAGAATTACTATCCTGTGACTTGTATTCATGTAGTGCATGATAGCTTTTATAGTCTCCATTTTAATAAAAGGTATATTTTGGAAGAGCAGGAAGGCTGCCTGTTCATCACCAACTCTTGGAAGACTTACTGTTGTATAAAATAACCTATAACCTTTTGTGTAAAGTAACCTAGATGAACACAGACACACAGAGAAAAATGATATATCAAAGGTGTAAAGAGACAAGATGGTTTGAACCTTCTGTGCAGAGCACCCTGTAATACAAAGACCAAAAGAAAAAGAGGCCAGTGCTAGCAGAAAATGGACAGGCAGTGAGCCTCTGAGTGATCACTGTCATTGTGCCAGAATTTCACCTATTCTTAGGGTTAGTTATAGGCAGAAAGCATTGAAATGAACTGATACTATTAGTGACAGTAGATTTCCAAAGAGGTGAGTACCTCTAAGAATATAGTCTTTTCAGCTGAAAAATGTCTTCCTCCAAGAGATACTCATCTCTGTATTGACTTTTAGGCAAAAGAATAGAGGAAAAAAATAGGGTTTGAAATTGCTATTGTCTTACAGATGATGATGTCTAGGGCTTTGTTATCAGCATCTGAGGTCAGACGTTAGGATTTGGTGGGTTTTACTCCTGAACTCTTCCATGCAGCTACCTTTTTAAATCACCAAAATATGAAGCATGTATTCTACTCCAAGGCACACAGTTAAGGAAAATGATGTTTCACTGAATTGCAGTTTACTGACTAATCTATAGGGGTGAGGTTCTTTGTACTGTCTTGGAAGACACATTAAGGCTCAGCAATTTGATAGTTCATCTTACAGTGTTTGAAATACTGGCTCTGATCTCTGAGATGTAAGCCTCTTACTTCTCATTTGGCACTCAGAAATTTAGTATAGATCCCCTTGGCCATCCAATCCAAGTGGAAGTAAAGTCAGGACTTCGTTTTTCCTTTGAGTTTTTCTGTACCTTTTGCTTTGACCCTCTCCTAGATAAGGACATTTGTGTGATGTTCAAATGAGGTAAGCCAGTATTACACAACTGCTGTGCTGCTGGTGTTCTGTGAATACCAAATCTACCCCTGGGTTCTTGTCCCTATAAAGCTTCTCTCTAGTTGTAAAGCTTCTCTTTAGTTTCCTCCAGACAGGTTAGAGAACAAAGGAGGAATTCCTGCTGCATCTAATCAAAGGTCTGAGGTCTCCAGCAGAGGTAACACTGCCAGAATCAGATGATCACAGAGCAAGCAGTAAGTGACTACTCCAGGGGCTAATAATTGATTACTAGGGCCCCACTGGGAAACAGGTAAAATTTATAAAGCCTTATTTCTCCCTCTTTACCCTCCAGCTGGTTAATTTGCACCATGCATGTTTTCTGCTGTGCCAGGGCTTCTGCCACAGTTCCAGGAAAACTGTCCATATTGGGTTAAGGAATTTGGGGTCACTGTGGTAATAACTACTGGAATAAGAGTCAGGGCTAGACAAGAGAGTTAAGCCTCTGCTGTTAGCAGGAATACCAGATCATCTTTATTCCAATGTACACAAAGGCTTACTGTCTGCAATGTGCCTGCTTGTGACTGTCATAGCTGGTGTTTTAGCTCTGAGGAAAAGATCCTGTAGTCATTGGTCAAGAGCAGATGCAAAGGAATGTTTAGTCCATTGAATCAACCAGCTGCCTTGGTGCTGCCCTTGAAGTATATGCTGCTGTTGTAACTACAGTTACAATGTAATAAATTAGAATGTAATAAATTAATTAGATTGTAATAAATTAGGACATTTCTGTCACACCCCTAAATCTATGAAGAGAAATGGTCACATCTTTCCCAATTGTTTTGTCAGCATTCCAGCGGGTTCTAACAGAATTGGTTTCTGTTCAGTTTACATATTAAAGGCTATTTGTAGAAAAAGAATGGGAGATTTCATTTGGGTTTGGGGTTTTTTTAATGTAAAAGTTGACATTCGTGACTATGGTTAGCACATTAATGCAAATATTTGTTTTGGTGAAGCATGGGGCATAGCAGGTGCAGGAGGCTATAAACGGGGTAAACATGATTATCTGAATAGGCAGATCTTCTTTAAATAATATCAGAAGATTCAAAGCTCATAATATGTATGCTTTTAGTATGTGCCAGTCCTTCAGAGAGGCCACAAGCTGCTTAACACTGACACAGTAGCTGCATTGGGGTGACCTGGATCTACTTCTATTCAGTGTTTTCCTAGAGGTCCTGGATGGTAATATAAGGAGTGGGTATAGCACATTTTCCAGGGACATAAAACTGTGATATTTGAAAGATGCAGGAGGAAAATACTAGAATTCAAAATTTTTCCAATAAATTGGAATACTTTCTCTAGGAAAAGAGCTGAATTAAATTCAGTAGGGATAAATACAAGGTTCTACAATAAGGCAGAAATTGCCAACCAAATAAGCACAAGACAGAAGTAAATTACTAGGTTGCAACTCCACAGAAAAGAGTATGTTATGATAGATCACAAGCTGAATATGAGTCAATGTCATGCTGTTGCAAATAAAGGCAAACATCTTGCTAGAATATGTAAAAGACATGGAAGTCTGGAAGACATGAAGCAATCCGTTTGCTCTGAGGCCAAATCCTCAGTTTGGGGGCTGTGCAAAGTTTTGGTTTTTACACTTTGAGACAGGTGCAATTCAAACAGAGGGAGTCCAGAGGAGGGTAGCAGGACTCATCGCAGGTCAG